GCTTAGTCGGACTTTACGTTACTTTGAGGATTTTATTTTTAATCCAGAAAAGCAGTAAGAATTTCATAACAAACACACATGTACCCACCACTGAAACTGGCAAGGGAGGCTGGAGAGAGAGAATAGCAGGAAGAGAGGAACAGAAGCGCCCCTGGGGAAAACAGGGAGGGCCAAGGAAGACATGCCAAACCTACAGTTTCCTGAGCAAGGCTTATGCAGGTTACATCAAGATCGCTCATTACTAATATATACTAATAACTAAGTAATTTGCACATTTAAAATACTATGTATTTGATAACAAAACACAGCATAGCAGTGGTTTTCATCTGCGTTTAATATTTTAAATGAGTGTTTTAAATATTACCATTTCATTGTACATAGTCATTGCATTTATGAAGTAGAACATACTTCTTAAAAGATGCCTTCATTTCATAGTGCTATGTTTTTAATTATGTGCAAATCTTTAAGCAAAGTGAAATATAAAATATTCACTCATATTATTAGTGTATGTGGTATCCTAATCCAATTTTTGTCACTCCAAATCTCACCATACTTTCCTAAATCAGCTGCTTAATGAGTCACACATTATAGAGATTAGACATTCAGCTCTATATAGCAATTTCAAAACTATAGACGCATGCCTTTAAATCAATGTCATTAAAAAATCAATCACAACAAAGACAATGACCATGAACATTTCTTTACAATGTAAAGATTTCTGAATCACATAATAATCTAATTATTTTGAATGATATTCAACACTATACCAGTTCAGTGCAATTTAGCCATTGAGACACCTTTCAGAGATATTTGTTTTTAATCAAAGCACATTTAATTGGAGATATTGCCCCCCAAATTTTATCCTAAACATGACATTATTTATTTTATGATCTTTTTTATTGTTATACAACTGAGAAAATTTTTATTATATACTTTTATATGACTAAATATTGCTACACTGTAGACATGATTGAAAAAATGCATAGTATATATTAACATCTCAAACACATATATGAAACTGTTAGTAAAATGATCTAGCTTTTCTAGATGTCTGTAAAAACAAATTAGCCCTTCAAAATGTTCTAGAGAACTTTTTTTTCCTTCAAACTACAATTCAATTAATATTTTCCAAAGAGCAAGTTAGAATGTGTGGGATATATTTGCCATTAAACCTTTATGTGTGAAATCTAACTACTAAACCACCTAATAGAGTCCTATCTCAGCTTCTAAATAGAAATATTTATAACATCTTTTAATATAATCATGTGAGATACACTTAACCATCTGGACATTTTGTTTCCTACAGATAATTTGCAATGGTGTAGTAAAACATTTTGTTTGTTTCTTATTAAATAGACATGATAAAAGTGTCTTGATAGAGTAATAGCATTTTTTATGACTTTCAAAGTAAGGTAGTGCATTTGCAGCAGCTTGATATAAAAGAAAACAAATAATTATCATTAATATTAATAAAACACTACTGCACATACTGAAAGCATGATTCAACAATGGCTAAGAATTTTAAATGATAAAGCACACTCCAAGTAGTGCTCATCTGCTTTGTAACATACTGAATAAAGATTCGTTGAAGAAGTTGGAGAGTTTTACTTACTGAGCAGTCTAGATAATTAAGTAATTACACATTTTGATTAAAAAATATATGTTGTTTATTAAAATAGAAACTCTAACTGCACTTCTTCAGCTAAACTTCTTTCAGATGCCAAGTTTATTCTTTAATTAGAACAAAAGACCAACATTAGCTTCAATGCAACATAATAATTCATAATAATGATTGTATATTAATCTCTTGAGCTTGTTGGAATATAGCACATGGCATATGGTATAGTACAGGCACCTGTGTCGTCCTTTGGGGACTGAGGTTGTGCATATTAATTAGCCCCAGGAAAATAAAATCTGCCTCCCTTTGAGAAAAGCTACCTTAGTGCTTATTGGCTTAAGACATCAAAGGAATTAGACAGAATACTGTTAGGCTCTGTCCACGATCATCAAATCTTTGTCTAGGTGAATCAGCTGATCCTGAGTTAATTCTTGACAGAATCCTGCTTAAAAAATTAGAGTAGCCATGCATTTCTTTGGCTTCAATGATAAGATTTTGGCTGAAAACATCAAAATCACCATTTTGGTTACAGAAAACTATATAACTATACACTTCAAACAGAAAATCATCTAACCAGAAACATTAAACTTTGAAACAGCATCTTTTTCTTGAGTGCTACCTGAAAGTGCCTCGATTTAATCCTTTGCTTTATAAATTCAGATACAATCTGAATATGCGATTATAAACGTCTTTCAGAAATATGTCATCTCACAACAAGTAAGGCCTTAGGATTCTCGGCAGTCTCAGGTGTGCTAAAGGCTCTTCAGTGCACAGCTTCGAAGGGTAATGAAAAGGTATTATGGAAATAAGACTCTGCCTGATTTACAGATAAGTGCATATTGAGTCAAATAGATCTTAAAATTACTTTCTCAGGGTAAAAAAAAGAAAAGCCTAATCTCATTGCTAAAGTATATCTAGAAATAGAAATCAGAAAATTGAGTGGACATGGTGGTGACCAAGAAAGGTTAAATAAAAAATAAAAAAATTTTGCAACTTTTCTTCTTTGAAATTCATATCACTTGAAATTTTGCATTTCATAAGCAAGCCCACTTAGCTAAAAAATATTTGCACTTAATATGGAGTGCTGAGAACTCTGGAGTTTCTTAAGATCTTTCAGAATTGCAGATTCTAATGAGGCTATTTAAGCTCGAAATTTAAATGCATGGAAGACAGATTCACTACTGCAGCTAAGCAGAATATTTTTCTCAAATGTCACATTCTTTGTGTTTTCTCTTGGGTTTCCTCCCTGCTCCTATAATGAAACTAGTATGTTGTTGATCTATTATTGGAATATGTGGACCCATTTCACTTCCGCTCAACACATGGATTGGTAGTTTAAAATAGTTCCTTTCTATTAAGAGGATGCATGACTAAAACACATTTAAATAGCCTGTTTAACCAGAGACGAGAATGTGCTCCCCTCAGAGAAAGCTTACTTTTTGTAGTAATTAATTACCTATATCACACAGTGCCTCTGAGAACACTTTTGGCTGGGTCTACCAATTTACTGTGTAAATAATTATAGTTTTTCATTTGAGGCAAAGATGCTGATTCATCATTAGGCAGTTGGTAATAAATCATTTATTTTATTTTTATAACATTTATTTTTCCAATGGGGAAACCTACTGGATGCTCTATATTTATATAAGTTAAAATGTCAATCAGTTATTCTGAGTTTTTAAGGATGATATGAAACTTTGGTTGTAAATCCAAGCACCTGCTCTCCCCTCCGCTCCCTAATGAAATTATGTGGGAATTCTGGGGAGAAAATTGTGTGATGTGTGGCTTCTGTACTTTTTACTCTTTTATATCTAGTTGTCATGATATTCTACAATGGTGTGTTGGTGTGCTGATTTTTAATGCTCTTATAGGGATCTTCTGACCTATCCACATATTGTTGGGGTGGGTGGGCCACCATCATAAGAAATGATGCAATTTGTTTCTTCAAACTCCTTCATTAAACCAGTGACGTGGTAGACTACACGGTCTCATTAGTTACTCAGAAATACATTAAATTCTCAATTCTGTGACTTTATCCAAATGAGTCCTCTGATGTTTTCTGCAGCACACAGTGCGAAGAACACAGGACTTGATACTAGAGGGCCCTGCAGAGAAACATACCTCAGACGCTTTTATTAGCTGTCGAACTTTCAACCAGTTACTCAACTAAGTTTCCTCACTTTAAAAAAAAAATAGGTTGTTGTGGGGATTCAATTAACAAAAACAAATACATGCAAACATTGACTGACAAGTCGCAGGCACAGATATTAGCTGTGTCTGCACCCTTTTTTGAGAGATACAATGGTTTCTTTTATTCTCTCTCTTAATAGTAAAGCTTCAGGCACCTCTTGCTACTGTGACTCTCATTTGTTTGTTTGTTTGTTTCAGATATGTTGCCAAATAATGTTTTCTCAGGTTTAATGTAGATCAGAAATTCTTAAACTTCAGTGTTCATAATGACCATCTGGGAAATCCTGCTGAAGATGAAGATGACTGGGTCTCACACCCCAAAATCCACATTTTGAGAAACGCCAATTTAGATCACTGATTTAACATAGAGCTAAAATATGCTCTCATGAAAGCATTTAACTCAGTGCCCTCCTTTCTGCTTCTGTTGTCAGGTAGAAACTCCCCCACTTCCTCCTGAGTACCCAGCCCTTTGGATTCCCTGGGAAAGTCTTGTCGGGTAGTGAGAGAATGAGCTAATCCTTCATTAAAGCAGTGATTCCAGTTCATGCAGCATTTGATAGAACGGCTGGTTTCACCGGTGCCCTGGAAAGGTGGTTTATAAGCCTAGCATCTCGGGGCAGGAGCTGGGTTTACTGCATGGCAAAGCAGAGAAGCTTAAATTCCAGGAGTGCTTTTGCTTCTAGCTAAATATGTGACTCTACCCAAGTTGCTTAATCGCTTTGGCTACAGGTATTGCACCTGATGGCATGATGGATGCTTTTCCTGGCTGAAGGTAACACCTTAGGGCTTAGACCAGAAAGTCTGTTAGGCTTCGTTTTGACTCCAGAATAGCTGCTCTTCCACAAAGGGAGTGTCCCATGTGTACCCTTTTTGAACTCAAGTTCGAGTGGTGGACATTTGCCACTTTTCTTGGCAGAATAACCATTTATGGTTTATTATATCTTGACCCAATTCTATGTATGAAGGATTGTGAGAATTAACAGGCACTCAGATATCTCAGCACGAATTAAACCTGCTACCAATTCTCCAAAAACACTTATTAACTTGCATAGGATTTTATTTACTTGGGTTATTGGGAAAAAGTTAAAATGATATAAATTTGGAGGAACTCTGAGGTAATCAGGCCATAGCAGGAATGTTCCTAGTTAAGAGGTCTGTTGCAGTCAAAGATATAGAGCAGCATCCATAAAACTGGTGGACATCTGTTTTAATTATAATTTAGTCTCTTCACATAATCTCTTAAGTAGACTAACACAAACGTGTTATTCCACAGTTAACTCCAGCTCTAAAATATCATATATCATATAATTTAGAAGTGAAGAATACATAATATTGAGATTTTTATCTGTGCAATGTGATTTACCTAGGTACACAATCATTAAACAAAAATGTACAAACAAAAATATTTTGTGCTTTCGATGCTTTTACAGACTAAGGGAGTGAATTTACTAAGATTTTGTCCTAAAATGATACACTATAAAACTGATAATTATTTGCCTTTGCTTTAAATCCAACTCCAAATTAAAAACTGGAATGAACACATTAAAGCTTTGTTAAATATTTAAGATCCTTTGGTATAAGGCATTCTGTCATTTGGCCCCACCCAGGTCCGTATGTGTATCCCACCTCTTTTCTGCTGTTGATTTCTGTGATTCAAGAGGGGGCACTGATGTTGAGTGTTCAGCCGTCTGGTCCTTTTAGTCCTTTCCTGTAGACACTCCTCAATGTGGCAAAATTTTCAAACAAACAAGCACATTGGTTTATAAAATGTAAGGTAGTTTCATTTCTCATGTAAAAATACGTGCACAAGCAATTCAAATGAAAATGGATTTCTGCTTGAATTATCTAGCTAATTGCCTCAATTCTCTTCTTTGCCTTGAGCACATAAACATTACTTAGGGTAGGAACAGCTGAGCCTTATAAATCAATTAATCAATACTGATTAATTCTTTCCCCTCAACTTTAGGTTTCCTTTAAACTAAGATTAGGTTTATGCTCATCCATAAAAAGCAAAAGACTTAGACACTCAGGCGCCGTCTGCAGGGTTGCCCTGGTTGTGTGTAATGGGGGAGTGTGTTTGTTGTGTTGAGTCAGAGAAAAAATTCACATGAAATATTCTGGAGTTATGTTTCCTCGGGGAATTTCCTTTATCCAATATCAGAAGAAAAAATTTTAAATCAATGTCTAAGGGCAAGCTAAAAGTTTAAACTGTCACCTAAACAGAATTCTAGAGTTTTGGGAAATAACAGGGGTCAGGGCCAGTCAATGACAATGTCAATAGGAAGAGTTTCATTTTCCACATGATTTCTCATATCTGAAGTGTGAGAAAGATATATTCATATAGCAACACTATTTTTTTCCTGCATAAAATTAAGATTATGAATATTATCTCTATTTTCATCTTTGTCACAACTAAGGATAGAAAAGGAAACCATATTAAAAGTTTCCTCTTAGAATTAAGGAATTTTTTTCATTGATCAAAACGGCTACTTCTTTCATAGTAAGTCCTTTTTGTCAGTGGGAAAAATAGCAATTTAATGCTTTTTCAGATACTTGGGGTTTTCAAAGACTGTGAGTTGGCTTCATTTTAGAGTCGCCCTGTTTCAGTGCTTCCAACAGAAACAACACAGGAAGAAATAAGAAATATTTTCTCCCTCATAAGACATACATCACTTCTGAATTTTTTACAAAATCAACTGAGGCAAATTAAGGGTTTCAAAGCTTGTCACCTTATAAGTTGTTAGAAAAAATTTGCATTTAAATTGCTCTGTGCAGCTACCTGGAGATTTTCCCCTGGAATGTTTATGGCTCTTTTTTTTCATTAATACTTAAAAAAATACAATTCCATAACCAGTGTATTACTACATCTAGTTGTGTTACGAACAGGCACTTCATTTCATAAAATAGAAACATTCAAAGTGGTTTTGGTCAACCGATCACTCAGTCAGAACACTTGAATTCCTCATATTGAATACTTGATAGTGAAGTTAATCTGAAGCCATATCAACTCTCCATTTCTGTTACAGAAAGTAGGTCATTAAAAGCTCTAACATAAGGAACAACTTCTGTGCCTATGTGCTTTATCCATAGGAGTGAAGATTGTCCAAAACTTCTTGGAACATTTTCCCCCAAATATTTTATATATATAAAAATACAGTAGATTTCTTTCTAATAGATAAATCTTAAGTATTATTTCAATAACTTGCTCTTACATATTCAGAAATGCAGATATAAGAAAAATATTAAATGTGCAAAATGCTCTTTTATATGTCTGTTAAAAATACAATCTAATAATAGCTTTAGATTTGTATAAAAAGCTGTTGGGTGAAGGTCTTCAATGTCAGGAAATCTGACCAGATTAGAGCTTTTGCTTGAGGAACTGTAAACAAACTTTTTAAAATGCTGAGAGTTTTCTCAGTTCTTTCCGACCAAGACACTGTCGAACACATCAAGTCCCGCTTTGAAGTAAACCTGAGCTGAATTAATGCTGTGCAACACCTTTGACAGGGCTTCTTGAAAGGTCTCATTTGATGTAAGAGATTTGCCATGCTCCCAAGCCTCCAGGAGTATTGAAAACTGGCTCGTCTTCTCATCAAGGTGGTACAGGATGTTTCTAAGAAGAAATATAAAATGTGTAAGTGATTTATGCACAATGTTATTTGCATATCAACCATTGTAATGAATATTTAAGAAATAGTGATATTTGCAATAAAGAAGTGATAAAATTATATCATTTTCAACCTCTAATGAATTCATAGATACAGACATTGATCATCAAAAGTTTCCCATAGTGATGAGAAAATCAGACATTATGTGCCTCCTGATGGAAGGACATCACACTATTTATAAAATAAAATAAAGTAGTTTTGCTAGAAATATTGAATCTGAGTCTGATGAAGCTTCTAAATCTAATTGCTAATAAATACAAGGGACACAGAAATATATTAAATGATACTATACAGTGTGTCATCAGAAAAACACAGANCAAGGGACGCAGAAATATATTAAATGATACTATACAGTGTGTCATCAGAAAAACACAGATTGTGGGAAAATCTATAAGACAAATGATCTAGTTTATTAAATAAAAAAATTATAATAAAAAATAGGTGAAGGAGGAACCTCTAGATCAGGGTTTCTTGACGTTGTGCTGTGGTCATTTGAGGCTGGATAATTCTTTATTGCGGTAGCTCTTCTGTGCCCGGTAGGATGTTTAGCAGTATCCCTGGCTTCCACCCAATAGTTGTCTCAGTCCGTTTGGGCTGCTATAACCGAAGGCCATAGACTTCTCACAGCTCTGAATGCTAGAAGTCAGGTCAGAGTCCCAGCACAGTCCAGGTCACCACAGTTCTTGGGGAGAGGCCTCTTCCTGGTTACAGTCTCACATGGACTTCCTTGGTGGTGCATACAGAGAGATCCCTCCATCTTCTCTTTTTATAAGGGCATTAGTCCCACCAGGAGGGTCCCCCACACATGACCTAACCTAACCTAATTACCACTCAAAGGCTTCACTCTACACACCATCACGTTGGGGTAAGGATCTTAACATATGTAATTTGGGAAAACACAAAAATTTAGTCCACAGCAATTGTAACAACCATAAATGTCTCTGAACTGGTGGAATTGCCCCTTAATTGAGGCCTACTGCTTTAGAATAAAAGAAACATATCAACTAGTGACAAAGTATAGGCTTTACAAGGTCTTTATTCAAACAAACTAAAACATAAGTAGTAATGCAAAATTGAACACTGAAGATTTGTTAATACTAAGGAATCGTTTGTACTTTAGTTGTGATAATGGTATCAATATGTTTATAAAAAGTGTCCTTATCTTTTAGGAATACATACAATAATATTTATAAATGAAAGGTTATCATGTCTGGGATTTGTTTCAAAATATTTGAGAGGAAAAGGAAGGTGAAGCTATAGACAGTATAGACAGAACAAGATTGACCGTAAGTTAATAATTGTTGAAATTGAGCCCAGCCAGTATGGCTCAGCGGTTGAGCATTGACCTATGGCCCAGGAGATTGTGGTTCGATTCCTAGTCAGGACACATGCCTGGGTTGTGGGCTCGATCCCCAATAGGCGGCATGCAGGAGGCAGCTGATCAATGACTCTCTCACCATTGATGTTTCTATCTCTCTACCCTCTCCCTTCCTCTCTCTGAAATCAATAAAGACATATTTTCTTAAAAAAAATGTTGAAATTGGGGAATAGAATTCATTATACTGTTCTATCTTCTTTTGTATATCTTTAACATTTAGAATACCATCTCATAAGTGTGGGATGTTTAATAAGATGGTGCTCTGAAATTTATCCAAAATTCCAAGAAAGAGGAATTTGGCTTTGGGCAAGTCTAAAGAGGCTACTTTTATTCATTCATAGAAAGAGATGCATTTTGGTAGAAAGCTATGGATCACTTCATCATTTCACTTATCCTCAATCCAAATTAGCTAACAAAGGATCTGCTGCTGGGAAAGGTTAGAAAACAGTTCCTAATGAAGAACACTTGAATCTCGCCTTGAATGATGATGGGAATTACCAGTTACAAAGGTTTAAGAGAGGAAATGAGCTAGAAAGTGGGGATAGCACCCCACGTAGGAGGAAGAGTCTACACAAAGGTATGAGTTTATAAAACAGCATGGTGTTCTCAGTAGAGAATGCCAGTGTTTCAGTATGGCCAGAGTGCAAGGCCAGCGTGGGCAGCTATAGCAGAAGAGCTGGGGGAGCAAGCATGGTCACATCATACAGGGCCTTCCATACTGAACTAAGGAGATTACACTTTTTCTTCTAGACAGTAGTAAACCAGTGAAGGATTTTAAACAAGAGAGAAAGGTTAATAGATTTTATTTGGGAAACACAGTTTTGGTTGTAAATAAAACCTGGAGAATGATTTAGTCCAGGTATAAGATGGCAAAGATACATATGACTCACACTGTGAAAATTAAGTTCGAGAAGATGGAAGAACAGTCACTGTATAAGATTTCATTAATTGCTACTTATCCCTAGCATTAAACTCAGTTTTATATTGAGTTCTAGATAATTGTTTTCTATCTCATCAAGGCTCCTCCACCTCAGCCTCTCCTGAACTTCCCACTCTGCACTCCGGTGGTGAATGGGCACTGAAAGCTGTCCAATCACTCAAGCCAGACCCTGCAGGTCATCTCTTTTCCTCTCATATTCAGCTGGTTTCTGATGATAGTCACTTCTCTATTTTTCCAGTGTCTTTTCTTCTCTGTTGTGGGACCCTAAACCTTATATTTGCAAGATTATTTTATGGTATCAATGCTCTATATGGCAGGGTTGAGAAATATGTCATTTTATCAGGTCTAATTCAGTGTTGCAAACAGAGGAGGTCTCAACAAGGTGGTTTAATTTACTTAAATTTTTATCATGCCTAGTTCAGTGATAGGGACTTAGTAAACCCTCAATAATGTTGGTGTAAATTATATCATTGCAGGTTATTTTGCATTTTAAGCAATAAAGAACAATAGATGTTGTGTCTTAAAAATTTTTTGAGTTAACCATGAGTGCATGGTGGGTCGCAGTAGGCAAAAAAACCTTGAACTCAGAGGCTATTTCAGTAAATATATTTTTGAAACAGATCATTTTAAATAATGACTATTCCTAATAATCCAATATCCTTCACCTTTGTTCCTATCAGTAAACTTGGCATTATATGAGTTAAATAGAGCAGTTAAAGAAAGATACTCTCCAGATTTCAAATATTCTTGAATTTGGGCACAAACTTTTTATTAAGAAACATATTCCCTGGACATGGGAGGGGAAAAACATCCTCCAACTGGAGGGGCACGTGGGTCATGAGCAATGTTCTGGCGGTGAGCTGGACTCTGAGAAAAATTTTGATCTACTTCAAGAAGTAGAACACTATTTAAAATAGAGATTTCTGTCTGCTATTCCCACAGTATTAATAAAAATAAAGAGATTTTCAGAAGTCAGTCAGTCATGCTACTGTAATCATTTAAGCAATCATATATCTATGTGCAGATACATAGATATATATACATATGTATTTTAAGTATAAAAGTTGTTTTGATTATATCACAATGACTTAAAATAGTAAGAATTAACAAAATACATAATGGGAGTTTCTCTACATATTAGTTTTATTAGTTTTATATCATAATAGATGTAAAAATAAAAGAAGCCAAATAATACAGAAAAAGCATGTAATTTTCCCAAATGAAGGTGAAGCTGTTTCAGACAGTGGCATGTATTCTCCTATGTGATGGTACCTACAAAAATGTTACTCTTTTCATGTTAAATTAATCTTTCTTAATTGCCATTTTTAAAAAAGTGTGGGTTTTTAGTGTTAGGATATCCATCAAACATGTTTAAATTCAGAGAGAATCACTTAAACAAACAAAATATTAGCGAACCGGATCCAGCATTACATTAAAAAGATCGTATACCACGATTAAGTGAGATTTATTCTGGGGATGCAAGGGTGGTGTAGTATTCACAAATCAATAAAGGTGATACACCACGTAAACAAAAGGAAGGACAAATATCACATAATCATATCAATAGATGCAGAAAAATCACTTAATAAAATCCAATTCCCATTTATAATAAAAACTCTCAGCAAAGTGGGAATAGAGGGAAAATACCTCAACCTAATAAGGGCCATATATGACAAACCCACAGCCAACATCATACTCAATGAACAAAAACTAAAATGGTTTCGCTTAATGTCAGGAAGAAGACAGGGATGTCTACTTTCACCACTCCAATTCAACACATTACTGGAGGTTCTAGCCATAGCCATCAGACAAGAAGAAGAAATAAACTGCATCTAAATTGGAAAGGAAGAAGTAAAACTATCGTTATTTGCAAAGATTGTAATAGTGTACATAGAAAACCCTCAATACTCTATCAAAACACTACTAGAACTGATAAACGAATTTGGCAAAGTAGCAGGATACAAAATTAATATTCACACATCAGTGGATTCTTACACACCAAAAATGAACTATCAGAAAGGGAAACTAAGAAAACAATCCCATTTACTATTGCAACAACAACAACAAAATAAGGGACTTAGAAATAAATTCAACCAAGAAGGTAAAAGACCTGTACTCAAGAAAATTATAAGGTACTGAAGAAATTGAGGAAGATACAAATAAGTGAAAGTATATACTGTGTTTATGGATAAGAAAAATTAGCATCATTAAAATTACCCAAAGCAATCTATAGGTTCAATGTAATTACTATCAAAATACCATTGGCACATTTCATAGAACTAGAACAAATATTCTAAAAGTTTATATGGAAGTTAAAAGACCCTGAATATCCTCAGCAATCTTGAGAGAAAACATGTTTTTGGAGGTATCATGCTACCTGATATCAAATTATACTACAAGACCACAGTACTCAAAACAGCACGGTGCTGGCATAAACACACACATGTAGATCAATGGAACAGAATAGAAAGCCCAGAAATAAACCTTAACCTTTATGGTCAATTAATATTTGACAAAGGAGGCAAGAACATAAAATGGGGTAAAGTCAGTCTATTCAATAAAAGGTGTAGGAAAAATTGGACAGATATATGCAAAAAAAAACTAGACCACCTCCTTATATGATACAC